ATCTAGTCCAAGCATTGACAAACTTAGGCCCTCCAGGTGTTTTGCACTTCATCTCCCACAATTCCTAACAGCCTAACAGCATCAAGCCCTTTCCTTTTCCCCCTCAGCCACTTAAGCGGCCTGAGGCTGTTTGGCTGTTAGGAATTATGGGAGCTGAAGTCCAAAACACCTGGAGGGCTGAAGTTTGCCCATACCTGATCTAGTCCAATTAAAATCAATGTAAACACCTGCTTACTCCAAGCAGATTCTACTATAATACAGAAATATCCCCGAAAGCTAAGTCCAATGAATTAAAAATAGCATACAAAATAATACTTTCTTTTTAAATGGTTACTATTATCAATAATGCGAAAAAACAAAAAAACACTCAAAATATCCACTTAATATTAACTACACATAGGTAAAGCATGTAACAGACCATCAAGCAAACAGAATTATTGCACATATTACCATCTAAAATGCCCATTTTGTCTAGACTCTAGAGATACAAAGCTAATCGGTTTTACATCTTATGTAAAACTAAGCCTGCAAAGGCAACTTTACTCCCACCTAGTTTGTCATTGCATCCCAGGAACTGAAGAGGCTACCCATCTGTCAGATCTTATCTAAGAGAAACAAAGATACTGGCTATAAAATAAAATAAGAATAGGAGACACTAATCTAAATGAAAAAAGTTAGATCCAAGCTCTTTTCTCCAGCCTTTGATTGTCCTGTGATCAACTTTAAGACATTCTAAGAATTTATTAATCAAGGTTAAAACGAATGAAAGTTTACTTTGAATAGGGCTGTATAAAAGTGTGATTCAAATAGTCCAAAAATATGTTGTCGAAGGCTTTCATGGTCAGAATCACTGGGTTACTGTGAGTTTTTCAGGCTGTATGGCCATGTTCCAGTAGCATTCTCTTCTGACATTTTGCCTGCATCTGTGGCAAGCATCCTCAGAGGTTTGTTCAGACCTCTGAACAAACATCTGAGATGCTTGCCACAGATGCACGCAAAACAATGTTTAAGGATATAGCCTAATCTGAAAAGAAACATCCTCAGCCCTAGCAGAAACGGGAAAGGGGGGAAGGACATAACACTGCCCAAATAAAAAAGCAAACCTGCCTGCGTAATGACATATCACTTGTAAATTAGTATCATTTTAGTAAGCCAATTTACTCACCGCTTCAAAAACCTAGACATTACCTACAGACAATGATTAGAAGTAAGAATGCAGTAAAAATGATAATTGAGTGTCTCGCTAAAAAATACTGACTTTTACTTAGTAATTTATGCCAATTCCTGAAAAAGCAGCATTTATTGTAACAGCCCAACCCATGACTTTAAGGAAGCTATTATAAACTGTATGAAAGGCAAAAAGGTGACATTTTCTCCTCAAATCTTATAAGCACCTATAGTTTTGTTATAGCCTTTCTATAATCTGTATCAGTCTGGATGCCCCACACCAACTCTGTAAGTGAACATCTGCATTGTAATATAGCCAAATGGTTACATAACTGGTTATAGAAATGTCTCTATCATGTTTGCTTATGCATTTGCTCTGCTACACTGTCTATGTGATCATACATTAACACATTAAAGCAGATATTCTTAAGAAGCAATTAAAGGCTGTCAACATGAAAAGGAATTTTACTTGGTCTTTAAAGTGGGCTGTTAAACATCTCAGTGATCACTACAGCACAGGCAGCTTTGGCCAGAAAGGAGGGGAAGAGGTTATTTTGAGGAAAGGAACACAGAGTCAGAGGCTTCTACCTTTATCAAGAATACACACTGAAACCTCCAGTGCCTTCAGGAAATGACAGCATCTCTCAATATTTTTTTATACTTGTGACCAGGATGTTTTCAAATCAATATCTTAAAAGCAAAAGGATTAATTGAGATAGCCCCATTTTGTCTCTAAATTAAATATCTAAATAACGGCAGTGTGTTTTTGAGGAGGGCCTGCAGAGATGCATGTTACTGTAGGAGCAAGAATATACATGGAAGAGCTAAGAAAATCTTGTCTTGCAAAGGAAGACAAGAAGGAACGGGAAAAAAAGGAAGGAAGCCAGCCTTGGTATGTAGAATGAATGCAGTTTGACGCCACTTTCATTGTCATGGCTCAATGAGATAGAATCCTGAGATCTGTAGTTTGGTGAGGTGTCAGCAATCTTTGGCAGATAAGGCTAAAGGCTTCATAATAATACCAGCACTCCCAGGATTCCATAACATTAAACCTTGGTGGTTAAAGTGGGGCCAAGCTGCAGTAACTCTACAGTGTGGATTCACTCTTGGAAGATTTGTTGGGAAGGAAGAAAAGGTCCTGTTAAGGTGTTTGGGAAACCCAGGACAGGTTGAGGCCTTATCTAAACTGCCGTATAAAATCCAGATAATCAGCTTTGAATTGGATTATATGGCAGTGTAGACAATCAAGTTCAAAGCACATACTCTGGGATCAGATCCCAGGATACAGGGCAGTGTAGATCCAGTCTGGGGGCCCTTCCACACAGCCTTATATCCCAGAATATCAAGGCAGAAAATCCCACAATATCTGCTTTGAACTGGGTTATCAGAGTCCACAGTCAGATAATGTGGGATTTTCTGCCTTGATGTTCTGGGATATAGGGCTGTGTGGAAGGGCCCTGGGATGGACCTGAGCATTCCTATAGAGGGGAAGTCTGCAGGGCTGGATCTCCAAGCAGAAAGATGGAGATTTTTAAGAAGAGGTTATCAAGAGTGTTTTCACAGTGTGCCCCTTTGTGGCAGAAAGGGGTTAGACTAGATGGTCCTTGGGGATACCTTCAAACTTTAGGGTCGCCCAAAAGGGAAAATGACAAAACCTCCTAATGATGTTTAAAGCTTGAAGACTGAGAGGCCTTCCACAGCAATGCTTTAAAAAGAGAAGGCAAATTTCATTTTGTCTGGAAATGAAAGGTTTCTAACAACAAAAGCGGGGTTTAGAAGGGGTTCATATTACACTAGGTTACAAAATTTGAAGAAGAAAAATTCTGTTCCTGGTTTGAAAGTGTTATTTCCTGTTTAACGGTGTGGTCCTTACTTGGAAAGAAGTTCTTCTACTCCAGAAACTTGGGGCCCTTCCACACAACCATATAACCCAGGATATCAAGGAAGAAAATCCTACAATATCTGCTTTGAACTGGGATATCAGAGTCCACACTGCCATATATCCTAGTTCAAAGCACATAATGTGGGATTTTATTCAGCTGTGTGGAAGGGGCCTTGGTTTTTTGTGACACAAATTAGGGACCCTTCCACATAGCCATATAACCCAGAAAGGCCCTCTAGCCCAGGATCTGATCCCAGGTTTTCTGTTTATCCCAGATTATCTGGCAGCACAGACTCATACAATCCTTTTAAAGCAGAAAACCAGGGATCAGATCCTTGAATATAGGGCCTGTCTGGAAGTCCACACTGCCAGAAAAGTTCCATCTTGTCTCCTGCCTATGTCATCAGTTGGGAGCCCCACCACCACCACCACCAACTGCTGCTCTGGGCCACAGTGAAGAGAGAAGGGGGCAGAAGACAGTTCCATCTTGTCTCCTGTGCTTTAATAATATAATATAATATATTGCATATACATATAATATTTATAATATTATAATGTAATACAATATAATACTAATAATAATACAATATTGTGATTATATATTTATATTACATGCAATATTACTAATAATATTACAATATAATGGTATAGTATAATATAGTAATATGTAATACTGATATTGAACTATGCTAATAATATAGATTGTGTGTTATTGTTTATTGTTTATATGTGATTTATATTAACTGCATTCTATTGTATTGTTTTTGTTTATTGCTTTCTTGTTTTTATTGATGTATTGTTGGGCTTGGCCTCATGTAAGCCGCTCCGAGTCCCTTGTGGAGATGGTGGCGGGGTATAAATAAAGTTATTATTATTATTATTATTATTATTATTGTTGTTATTAAGTAACAGCCAACAGGAAGGTGCGTTTCGGTGGGGGGGGCTGAATTTTTTTCAGGGGGGTTTTGGGGGGGGGCTGAGTTTCAGGGGGGGCTGAGTCTGAGTGAAAGAGGGTCTAGCCTAGCAAACCTTTTGTATCATTACCCCAATACCCCCATGCATATGGGATATATTGAGTATGGTGATCAGATCATGATATGAATAAACATAACAGTTTAAATAATGCACCAGTAAAGCCTTTTCGCGAACCACCATGAGAATTTCGGGGGGGGGGGCTGAAGCCCCCCCCCCCCCCCCCCGGCTACATGCCTGTATGTATGTATCTATGTGTATGTGTATATGTATGTGTGTGTGTGTGTATATATATCTCTTATAAGCTGCTCTGAGTCCCCTTCGGGGTGAGAAGGGCAGCATACAAATGTCATAAATAAATGAATATATTCCAGTTCAAAGCAGATAATGTGGAATATTATTCATCTGTGTGGAAGGGTTCTAGGTTGAATAGATTTTCCTTGAAAAACCAGAGCAAAATGTGCTCTGGTTGTCCCGCAAAAGCAAAGTTTGCCATGTTGTCATGAGAGGACTAATTGGGGAATGACATATAACCCAGGAACAAAAATCGGGAGGGAGAATATTTACAGAGGAGTCCAAAAGGGATGAAGGAGAGAAAGGCAGATTTGTATGGCTCTATCAATTCCTACAGATGGGGGAGAGGAGAAGAGGCTAGGAAAGGATCTCCATAATGAGGCGAGGCAAAAGAGAGGCGTTTATTATTATTATTATTATTATTAATAATAATAATAATAATAATAATAATAAATAAATAAATCTCAGAACCTCTGAGGATGCTTGCCATAGATGCAGGCGAAACGTCAGGAGAGAATGCCTCTACAACATGGCCATATAGCCCGAAAAAACCTACAACAACCCAACATATTATTATTATTATTATTATTATTATTATTATTATTATTATTATTATTATTATTCCTCCCCTCCATCCCCGCCCCCTCCCTCCGACTGTGGACGAGGAAGCGAAGGAGAGACTTACCTGCGGCCTTTCCTGCTCCCTTCAGCAGCAGCAGCAGCGGCGGAAGCCTCCCTGCGCCCAACCCGCCTGGGCCACCATCGCGGCCGCCGCGGAGGAAGGACTGGCTCCTCGAGCGCCTTCTGCCCGGCTCCGTCGCCCTCGCCTCCGCCGGCCAAGCCTCCCCCGCAACCAACAAGGCGAGCGCCCATTGGGCCGGCGCCGTCCCGCCCTCCAACAACCGCGCCGCTCATTGGTCCGCCCGCTCGAGGCGAAGGAAAGAGGAAGACAACAACGGAGTCGCTTCCACGGAGATTAAGGGAAGCGCCTCGTCGGAGCCTGAAGGAAAACGCACGGGTTTGTGTCTTGAACCCACAAACAGCCAGCTTTGGTCGTTTTGCTGACGGAACCTTGAAGCGGGAGATGTTTTCCTGAGGAGACTGGTAACGGCGCAAACGGAGCGGGTTTCCGGTTCCGGTGAAGCTCCCTGAAGTCCTGGCGGAGGGTCACTCACTAAGCAGCCAGGTAGGGCCTCAGGCCTTCTTCTTCTCCAAGTCTTCTCTTTTAGGCTGAAAAGGGGTGTCACGTTTTCAACATGGTGGTCGTGGAAGGAAGGGAAGAGTTGGTGGCTTCTCTTGAATGGGAAACTACAGGAAAGGAGATGCCACCTGAACATTAGGAAGAACAGCAGATGAGATAGTGACTACCCTAAACTGTTTCAAGATTAAAAGGTTAGGAAGTACACCACACTAAACTGTGGTCTGATACTATATTTGTCGTGTCAGCGCAACCAGTCAATTATATTACATTTCTAACAGAACAAAGCAAACAAACAGAAAAATACACAACTTGTGAGTTTGGTAGCTGGTTAAATGTCCTTTGACCAGTATCTGGTCACTTGGAGTGCTTCCGGTGTTGCTGCAAGAAGGTCCTCCATTGTGCATGTGGCAGGGCTCAGGTTGCATTGCAGCAGGTGGTCAGTGGTTTGCTCTTCTCCACACTCGCATGTTGTGGATTCCACTTTGTAGCCCCCTTTCTGAAGGTTGGCTCTGCATCTTGTGGTGCCAGAGCGCAGTCTGTTCAGCGCCTTCCAAGTCGCCCAGTCTTCTGTGTGCCCAGGGGGGAGTCTCTCATTTGGTATCAGCCATTGGTTGAGGTCTGGGTTTGAGCCTGCCACTTTTGGACTCTCGCTTGCTGAGGTGTTCCAGCGAGTGTCTCTGTAGATCTTAGAAAACTATTTCTAGATTTAAGTCGTTGACGTGCTGGCTGATACCCAAACAGGATGAACTGGAGATGTCTCTGCCTTGGTCCTTTCAGTGGTGCAATACCGGCTAAGCAGTGTAATTTCTCCAGTGGCGTAGGGCGCAGACACCCCATGATAATGCGGCATGTCTCATTAAGAGCCACATCCACTGTTTTATTAAGGTGAGATGTGTTCCACACTGGGCATGCATACTCAGCAGCAGAGTAGCACAGCGCAAGGGCAGATGTCTTCACTGTATCTGGTTGTGATCCCCAGGTTGTGCCAGTCAGCCACAGAAACGACCAGCATGCAGGAAGAGTTGGTGGGGCTTCTCTTGAATGGGAAACTACAGGAAAAGAGATTCCACCTGAACATTAGGAAGAACTTCCTGACTGTGAGAGCCGTTCAGCAGTGGAACTCTCTGCCCCAGAGTGTGGTGGAGGCTCCTTCTTTGGAAGCTTTTAAACAGGGGCTGGATGGCCATTTATTTATTATTTTATTTGGGGTGTTTCTACCCCGCCCTTCTCAACCCCCTAGGGGGGACTCAGGGCGGCTTACAAAAGGCACAATTCGATGCCTAACAATTACAACATACAATGCAATATACAATACACAAATTTACCACATTTAAGGACATTTAACCAAATACCAAATTGGCAAAATCTGTGTGTTCTTTTTCCTTTTTCTTTTTAATCTGTGTGTTTGTTTTGCTCCGTTAGAATTGTAATACAATGGTTGCTGATGACACGATAAATAAATATAACCACATAATATCACAGTTATAACTGATTAAAACAATCAGACAATATACTAGCAGCAATCAAACATCTTGTGGTCAGTGTTCACCAAATCCAAGTCCATAAACCATTTAGCACTGTCATTATCCTTTCCTACTCTGGTCATTATTGGTTGTCTTTGTCCCTCTGCCAGCTTACCCGAAGGCCTGGTCCCACATCCAGGTTTTTAGCTTCTTCCTGAAGGAGAGGAGGGATGTTGATGTCCTAATTTCCCCGGGGAGTGCATTCCACAGGCGAGGGGCCACCACCGAGAAGGCCCTGTCCCTCGTCCCCACCAGTCTCGCGATAAAGATGGGGCCGAGAGCAGGGCCCCCTCAGCAGATCTCAAACTCCGAGGTGGGACGTAGAAGGAGATACATTAGGACAGGTATGCTGGGCCGGAGCCGTAAAGGGTTTGTAGGTCAAAACCAGCACTTTGTCAGGGGTGATTTAAATGCAATATTCTTGCTTCTTGGCAGGGGGTTGGACTGGATAGCCCATGAGGTCTCTTCCAACTCTTTGATTCTATGATTCTACATAAACTCTCTTATCAGCTTCTTACAAGTCTCATTGCAATATCCTCCAACTGTCTCAATTTGGTAAGGGCAGTCCTGATTAAAACTCTACCACTGACTTTTTCAGCTGGACATGTTTAGCCTGAAGAAGAGAAGGCTGAGAGGAGATATGATAGCCATGTATAAATATGTGAGAGGAAGCCACAGGGAGGAGGGAGCAAGTTTGTTTTCTGCTTCCCTGGAGACTAGGATGGAACAATGGCTTCAAACTACAAGAGAGGAGATTCCATCTGAACATGAGGAAGAACTTCCTGACTGTGAGAGCCGTTCAGCAGTGGAACTCTGCCCCGGAGTGTGGTGGAGAGGCTTCTTTGGAAGCTTTTAAACAGAGGCTGGATAGCCATCTGTCGGGGGTGCTTTGAATGCAATTTTCCATGTCAGACTACTGGACCACTCTCACAACCACCATGTCAGACTACACAGAGAAGCCATTGAAATCCACAAGCATGTGGACAATTTCAACAGAAAGGAAGAAACCATGAAAATGAACAAAATCTGGCTACCAGTATTAAAAAAAACTAAAATTACAACAGCAAACAAACAATGACATCCAATCACCTCTCAACAAAAGATTGCCCCAGGCACTGCCAGGCCATCAAATGCTAATCAAGGTGGTCAGTTGAAACATTCACACCTAGCTCCAGCAGACAAGAATTCTTTGTCCCACCCTGGTCATTCCACAGATATATAAACCCATTTTCCTAGTTCCAACAGACCTCAACCTCTGAGGATGCTTGCCATAGATGCAGGCGAAACGTCAGGAGAGAATGCCTCTAGAACATGGCCATATAGCCCGAAAAAACCTACAACAACCCAATTTTCCTGCTTCTTGGCAGGGGGTTGGACAAGATTGTCCAATGGGTCTCTTCCAACTCTACAATTTTATGAAACAGGGCCCATTGGACCATCTTGGATTGTTCCATTGTGCTTTGGACTAGGCATCCCGACTTTATCTAAGCTCCTTCACTTTAGTTTGGTCCCTTTCCTGTGCTTCTGACACTTTAATGTATAATTCAGGGGTCCTCAAACTAAGGCCCGAGAGCCGGATATAGCCCTCCAAGGTCATTTACCCGGCCCTCACTCAGGGTCAAACAACTTGAACACACACAACAACAACAACAATCCTATCTCATCAGCCAAAAGCAGGCCCACACTTCCCATTGAAATACTAATAAGTTTATATTTGTTAAAATTGTTCTTCATTTTAATTATTGTATTGTTTTTAAGTGTTTTTTGAACTACAAATAAGATATGTGCCGTGTTCATAGGAATTCATTCATGTTTTTTTCAAATTATAATCCGGCCCTCCAACAGTTTGAGGGACTGTGACCTGGCCCTCTGTTTAAAAAGTTTGAGGACCCCTGACTCTAAGGGCATTACCCTTCCAGCCCAGACCTCTGATAATTGCACTTTTCCTTGGCTCTACTTAGGAATCATTATACTTACTCTGAGCCCTCAAACCCAGCATCAATTTGTTGTTCAGCCATGATATTGTTTCTATGATGTTGCATGTTTATGATGTTTATATTGACTTGTTGTTGCTGATTGCATTTTATTGTGCTTGTTTTAATCTGTAATTCTTGGGCTTGTCCCTTTGTAAGCTGTCCCGAGTCCCTTCGGGGAGATGGAGGCGGGGTATAAAAACAAAATTATTATTATTTTACTGACAAAAAATCACAGTATATCACAGCAAATGAGATCTATAGGCTGGATTTCGTTATCACAAAATCACTGTTCGAACACTTCCCAAGCGTCTAGGACTGTGTGATGTATTTTTGAATGATGCCTGCAGATCCAAGTAAGGTGGTCTTTTGCAGTTGACAGATCATGATTTTGTCAGTTTATTGTTTCCAAATGCCGGCTGAGATCTTTTGGCACAGCACCCAGTGTGCCGGTGACCACTGGGACCACCTGTACTGGTTTATGCCAGAGCCTTTGCAGTTCAATTTTGAGGTTCTGATAACAGCTGAGTTTTTCCTGTTGTTTGTCCTCAATGCAACTGTCACCCGGTATGACGACATCAATAATCCAAACTTCTTTCTTTTCCACAATCGTGATGTCTAGTGTATTGTGTTCCAAAACTTTGTAAGTCTGTATTTGAAAGTCCCGCAGAATTTTTGCGTGTTCATTTCCCACTACCTTTGCAGGTTTATGATTCTTTACCAATATTATTATTATTATCTTCTTCTTCTTCTTCTTCTTCTTCTTCTTCTTCTTCTTCTTCTTCTTCTTCTCGGACCCCTTCCACACAGTTGTATAAAATCCACATTGAACTGGATTATATGGCAGCTATATATTGCTTTCAAAGAGTATTATATGGCAACATGTCACCGGACTCATCCATACTATTTCACTGTCTGAAATGGAACAAAAATTGAGCCCACTCGCCCACATCAGTGCACTTGCAGAACTGGGTAGAAGTAATACAATAAGTAATCCACAGAGAATACGTTCCTGGCTGGACTTGAAACTATGGATATTACGATCTGGCTTCCAGTCCCAGAATATCATAGAGTCACTTCAGAGGACTAAGGAATTCATAGCAAGGTATCCTTTCTATAAAATTGCTAGGTCCTCTAGGGCAACAGTATGCAACTTTTAGGGGAAGAATAGCATAGAATTGCCTGGAAAACCTAGCAAATTGCATTTTCCTCTCAATGCAGGTAAGTGAAACCACAGGTATCGGTATCGTGGTTGCGGGGGTCTTATTTCTTTTTGTTGTAGGGTAGTAGGCAGAAAAATCATAAGTTGTGCTACTATACAATCTTTTCCCTCTTTCCATAGGGTCAGATATACTATTGCCAAAACGCAAAGGTGAGACCAGCCTAGGGCCTATCCATACAGTATCTTTATCCCAGGAGCTCCTGGTTCAAAATGGCAGGTGGCCAAATGAAACCCCCTGAAAACACAGAAGGAATTGCTACAAAGGTC